TTTATTTATTTATTTATTTTTATTTATATATGTATAAACATACTTAAAATATATATACACATATACAATACTTAATTTCTTAATATATATTTCTTAATTTTCTGCACATATATACATTGGTTCAACTAAACAAAAACGAATCTAAACTCTAAAATTTTGAATCCAAAATCTAAAGTTTTGAATTTAAAGTCTAAAATTACATAACAAAAAAACAAAAAAAAAAAATTTACCAAAAAATTCAATGCAAGAAATGACTATGTTACCAATTGTTATAACAATATTTCTTTTCAAATCCATACATCTGTAAAAATTAAACATACATCATCGTATTAAATTAAAGAAAAATACAATCATAAGCATACATGAATTATAAGATTTGTTCACGTCTGTCTGGCAGTAGAATTTTCTGAATCTTTTTATGATGGAATTTCATAAAAATAAAATGACAACTTTTTGATTCGGAAACTATAACTGTCTTTTATATCGACTGACTTTGACAATTTCTATTTCGTCCATCATGAAGTGAGAATATTACAGAAATAGTATATGAACATTACAAACCTATATTTAAACCCGATGCATTAAGGTCAAATACTGTTTAGTAGTATTTGATCACTTTTAAATGAGTCTATTAAATTGACATGTATATTAAGAACCACATTGAGTCCACACGTTAGAAAAATCCAACACTTAGAAGAAAAAAAAAAATAATTTTTAGATTTCCTAACTGCATTTGTGCAGCTACAAGAACTCTTAGTTAGACAACAAATTTTAATTTCTCATCCTTATTTAGTTGTTGATCAATAATAATTTTTTTTTATGTAATTTATGGTTTTCTTTTAGATTTAGTAAAAAAAGTAATTTTTTTTTTAATTTCTTAGAATTTGTAGATTATTGATAGTAATAAGTGATTTTATCTGGATTTTTTTTCAGTAAACATTGCATTAATAATGTTGATTAAGATTTTTCATAACTTTAATCATGTTCGTAATTTGATTAAGATTAAAAAAATTTGTTTTGATCTTATAGTCTATAGTTGTAGAGTGGACAAAAATTCACCATTGGTAATTGAAATAATAAATTATATATAATTCTATTATTTATATTGGTTGGATAATAATGTTGGCAATCAATTTCATAAAATATTAACACATATCATGTTATATAGTACATTCATGTCTTACTTAACCAAACTTAATCCAACTTATATTCTTTATATATATATATATATAAAGAATATGAACTCCTCTTGAATCCATGAAAGGTTTGAATTTTTATATTTCTCGGAGTGTTGAAATGAAAACTCATTTTCAAGCCTTCATCATTCCTGTACGAAGAACACCATAAATCCCCTGTAGTTTCTTTATCAATATTTTGGCCTCACCAAAATATTAACAACTATTTTGATCAAAACTAAGCTTATGCTTGGTAAAGAAACAATAACTAATGCAGTGGGTTTTGTCAGGCACATAACTTTTACAAACTAAAATTACTTGTAAGCTTTTTTGACTCCAGATGAAAGTGATCTTAATCTTCACAGTACAGTACGCAGGAATTGAATTCAGGAGTAAAAGAGACTTCTTCCTCCTCCCTATCCCTATCCCTATCAAACACTCCAAACTCTCTGTTTCCTATTTTGGCATCCTCTCTTACAATTAATTACTTGGTTAAAAAAATTGACACCACAATTTATAAAATGATTTTTTTTTTTTTTTTTTTTTTTTTTGG